TGTTGTCTGTATATTTTCTGTATCTTTGATGATGTTTTCTGTATATTTTCTGTATCTTTGATGTTGTTGTCTGTATATTTTCTGTATATTTTCTGTATCTTTGATGATGTTTTCTGTATATTTTCTGTATCTTTGATGTTGTTTTCTGTATCTTTGACGTTGTTTTCTGTATATTTTCTGTATCTTTGACGTTGTTTTCTGTATATTTTCTGTATCTTTGATGATGTTTTCTGTATCTTTGACGTTGTTTTCTGTATATTTTCTGTATCTTTGATGTTGTTTTCTGTATATTTTCTGTATCTTTGATGTTGTTTTCTGTATATTTTCTGTATCTTTGAATCTTTGATGATGTTTTCTGTATATTTTCTGTATCTTTGATGATGTTTTCTGTATGTTTTCTGTATCTTTGATGATGTTTTCTGTATATTTTCTGTATCTTTGACGTTGTTTTCTGTATATTTTCTGTATCTTTGATGATGTTTTCTGTATATTTTCTGTATCTTTGATGTTGTTTTCTGTATATTTTCTGTATCTTTGATGTTGTTTTCTGTATCTTTGATGTTGTTTTTTGTATTTTTGATGTTGTTTTCTGAATCTTTTCTGTAGTTTTTTGTATCTTTGATGATGTTTTCTGTATCTTTGATCTTGTTTTCTGTTTTTTTGATGTTGTTTTCTGAATCTTTTCTGTAACTTTTTGTATCTTTGATGTTGTTTTCTGTATCTTTGATGATGTTTTCTGTATATTTTCTGTATCTTTGATGTTGTTTTCTGTATCTTTGATGCTGTTTTCTGTAGCTTTGATGATGTTTTCTGCATATTTTCTGTATCTTTGATGTTGTTTTCTGTATTTTTGATGTTGTTTTCCGTATCTTTTCTGTAGTTTTTTGTATCTTTGATGATGTTTTCTGTATCTTTGATGTTGTTTTCTGTATCTTTGATCTTGTTGTCTGTATCTTTGATGATGTTTGAATAAATGGTTTGTTGTCTCTTCATTGTTGTTGCACTTGGAATTTGTTTTTCAGTCTCATTGTAGTTGTTTTTTGTTTCTTTATTTTATTTTTTAATCTCAAAATGACATTCATTGTGTCTTTTTGTTTTAACTTCCTGTGTTCCTGGAGCCAGCCTCAAGCGGACACTCGACAAGCTGTAGGACTTTGCATTAGCTTTGCAGTATTCTTTTGAAAGCGCATCAGACAAGATATTAGGCCCAACCTTAGCCTCTCAGTGGCTACATCGTTCGGGAACAGCATTTTGTTCAAGTATTAGCTTTTATCGCGGTTGAAGGGTTAGCAGTTAAAGTTGACATGTTAGCTTCTAAAATAAAGCGTTGGTAATTTGAAGTCGATGAAGCCATGAAAATGTTGACATGTTAGAAGTAAAAAGAATTTAAGTGTTAGCAATGTAAAGAGTTTTTAGCAGCAAATGGAGATTAAATAACGAATCAAAGTGTTAGCCTTGAAAGGAGTTCAAGTGTCTGCAGTTAAAGAGGTTGAAATCTTAGCAGTGAAAATATTTTAAGTGTTTGCAAAGTATTTAAGTGTCAGCAGTAAAATGATAAGTATGTCAGCAGAGGAAGTAGTTAAATCGCTTGCAGTTAAAGGAATCAAAAATGTCAGCAGTTAAAGTTGAACTAATTTTCTATCTGCATACTCACACAGGTGTTCAGTTCCTCCACCTGTCTGTGGATGATCGCCTGGAATTCTACCAATTTTTTGACATCCCATGTCACTGAGGTGAGGTTGTCATGGCGATAGAGATCAGAAATCAGCTTCAAACTGTCTCTGATGAAAACCAGCTGAGAGAGAGAGGTGTGAATTTTGAGCTTTCTGATTGGACAACAGAGCTGATGTCATATCTCTGCTTTATGTGTGTCATTGGCAACAGGAACAAAACCACCAGCGGGTAAACATTTTCTGAATGAACAGATTGATGGATTACCTCAGCCTTACGTATGCGCTTGTAGAGGCTGTTTGGAAAGAGAACTGGACCCTTTTCTTCAGTCAAAGGACCACCCTGAAAACAAAAAGACACAAATTACTTTATTTTACCAAATCACACACTTTATAAAACACTGGAAACTGAAGCAGCGTCACAGGTTTCCATGTTGGGACAATAAGAAAAGACAGTTTTTCATATTTACATCATCATATGTCAGCCTTAGGTAACCTAATGTTCTTGTGCTAAAATGGTCAATTCCAATTTTTCATTAAATATTTGAATTTCAATATACATAACACACAAGGCCGCATTTAGCCAAATGTATTCCCATGTAGCCCATATAAGTAAATTTGCAGATTTTCACAATTTTCTTGTTTGTAGTTTATGCAACATAGAGTATGTGCTCATATATTTTCTCTTCTTTTCACATACAGTATATTTATAAGCATTAAGCATTTTCTTGATTTTTATATATATTTTTTGGAAAAATATTTTTAAAACGCCAAGTCCTTAAGTTTGCAATGTATCAAAAAAAATTCCAAAAAAAAAACATTAATGCAAAAAAAGTTTAAAAACAATCTACATTAATGCAAAAATGATTTTGAGAACCTTTACATTTTTGTTTTAATATTTAAGTAGGCTATTGAGTTTTATCTTTCAGATTAAATAAGGACACATGTTTATCCATATGATGACCATCCAGGACCTGGAGTCAGTGCAGTTCTGTTGGACTTACCATGTGCTCGATGGCATCCAAAGATTGGCCATTCAGGTGACCAAAGCGTTTGACCCAATCGCAGCAGAGGTTGGGGGTCAGGACGCTGCAGAGGACGAGGAACAGGCTGGTCAAACTGGGCATGATGATGGTGAAGATAAGTTTGATGATGGTCGGCTGCAGACTGAGCTGTGTGTGAACATGCTGCCTATCTGAGGATTTTTATTCAAGACAGGAGAGAGAAAACAGATGAAGAGTGAATAGCAGAAAGTCCCAAACTTTGTCATGAACACACTCACACACACACACACACACACACCCACACACACTCACACACACAAACACAAACACACACACACACACACTCACACACACTCACACACACAAACACAAACACACACACACACACACACACACAAACACAAACACACACACACACACACACACACACACACACACACACACACACACACACACACACACACACACACAATAGGTCCGAAAAAGTCGGGTCGTCTTATATTCGGGGTCTAGTATTCAGAGCTCAGCTCTAATTGTTCGCCTGTCCCTTTAAATGTCAACACACATGACGCGCTCTGGAGGAGCAGGGGAGCGATGACAGTGAGAGAGAACACAGCGGGGCGGAGGACGTGTGTGAGGAATAGGAGACATCGGAGGAGAAGTTTGGAGAGTTTTAGTTTAGCGGTAGTTTAGTTAAAAACGTTGCCTGTATTTCCTCTGTTATTTCAAAATGTTAAAAACATGTTGATAATATTGTTTGATTGTTAATCGATTTTAATGTTGAATCATACTGTACATAGTTCGCCCTTGTGAAACACTTTGTTTTGAAAAGTGCCGTAGGCCTATACCGATAAATACGGTATGTTAATTATTATTATAATTATTAATACAACAGGTGTTTAATTCAATGTGTTTTTAATATTGTTATTTTCAAATAAAATGAAGTTCTTTAAAAAAAGTTCTTTACAAAAACAAGATCTGGTCTGCAAATCTTTTTTTTCTAAATATGAGTGTTGAAAAACGGGGGTCGTCTTATAATCAGGGTCGTCTTATATTCGGACCAATACGGTATTACTTGATCTAATTAATTAATTGATCTGGTGTTGCTTTAAATTGTTTTTTTTTGTTATTTTTTTTAATAGTTTAATAGATATGCAAAAAAATATTGTTGCAATGCATTCTGAGGTAACTGTTGTGAGTGATAACTGTACACAAAAATTGCAATGAAGTAAGAATAAAAAACGAATAGATTTTTGTCATTTTTGGGTGAGTCTATAACAGTGTTTAATTATGATACAATTTATGATTTTTGTTTATAAAAAAACCTTGTTCTATTTTTATATAAAGAACTACAACTCCTGTTTTTTTTATGTGGGAGGTTTATTTAACCATGTGGAAGTCCCTTCACTTTCATTATCCACAGCGTCTCTCTTCACAAAAAGCTCAAAAAAACAAAAGCACACGCCAGTTGTTTTTCAAAACAGAATACCAGATATTCACGTGTAGAGCTGAGCGGAGCTAAAACTGAGTCTTTGAAGAGAAATCTGTTAAATGAAAACATCACACAACATGCCCAGCGTTAGTTTATTAATGGTGTTATTTTATTTTGAAGGCAGCATTTCCGAGCTTCCGTGCAGCCGACGTTATCCTCGATTTCCTTTTCTGTTTCTTCATTTTCATTTTCAGGTCGTCAAGGAAACCGCCGCTGGTGATGAGACTCTGTGACGTCATCCCTGGGGCAAATCCAAAAAGTTTGCAATATGATAATAATAAACGTAAGATCGAGCTTATTGATTATATTATTTATGGGTTTAACGCATACGTCAGTTTAAAAGCTGAGACACAAAACTGTCATTAAAACTGTGTTAACTGATCATTAAGGTTTCATTTGATATGATCTGAATATGATACACGTTATTGTTTTTGCCTGTGTGTCTTTTAACTTCTTTATGTTATGTAGCACTTATGTAGGGACATTTGCTCCTGAAATATATTCGGCTTTTAAAAAATATAAATGACCAAAGGTAGTTTCATTCACTCTTGGCTTACTGCCAGTTTACTAATAATTGTATTACTAGTGTTTTTCTTCTTATTCCTGTTTTGGTGATATTGTTTTCCACACATTCACACAAAAGTCTACTATTTTTTTTTTTTTTTTTTAACTTTTATAGAATATTTATTTAATGCAAATTTACAAAAGTAAGATGAAACCAATCAGCAGCCGAATGAAAATGTAGAAATCAATAATAATCTATTTAATAAAAGAAACAGAGATTCTGCGATTACGTCACTCCCTTCGCTTTCTCATTGGTTGCTGTAGGAGGACCCGCCCTCCAGCGGAAGCGCGGCAAACCTTCAGTATTTATTTACGGAGGTGAGGGAGGCGAAAACTTAAACTGTGAGTAAAAGTTATTTTAACCATTTGCCAAAAAAAAACAATAACGGAGAAATGTACAGAGGACTGGAATTTATCCATAGCTTCAACTTTACATTTGTTTAACTTTGCAGTTAGCTGCCAAACCACATTTAAAAAAAACACCAATTTTAAAGCTTCGTCCCTCACACTCTGTTTAGTAGTTAAAATGAAGTTGTTAACAAAAACAATGTCAAACTGTATTCTTGTTAAAGCGTTTCTGCCTGTGTTTTAAGATGCATTAACACCACAGGCTGTAGGTTTATATAAATATATGTAATATTTACAGTCTGTGGTTTATAAACGCTGTCAGTGCTGCTCACAGGTTACTACAAACCAACTTTAAGTTTTAACACTTCATAATAAATGTTTACAGGTCACTTCCCTGCCGAATTGTTAAGTAGTCACTCATGAATAATAAAAAGTATCATTTATTGTTTTGCGTACTAAATGTGTCTCTGTAGACAAATGAAAAACATTTTTTTAAATATTTTTAAAAGGGGGTTTGGTGCAGACATTTAATCTTTCTATCCTTCTGTCTGCCTGTTTGCAGGACGGATGGAGGTGGACATCCTGGAGTTCCAGGTTCCTCTGGAGAACAACAAGACTCTGTTTGTGTGGGACATCCAGCCCTCTTACACCGAGGCTCATATCTATGTGAGTTCACATGGGTTCAGGTCCTGTAGAGAGCACACCTGAGGGGCAGATCTGGGTGGGTCAGGTTTGGGCCAGTCTTTTCTTTTTTTTAAAGATTTATTTTTGGGCTTTTTGTCCCTTTAATGGAGAGATAGGACAGCGGATAGAGTCGGAAATCAAGGAGAGAGAGCGGGAATGACATGGCGGGAAAGAAGCCACAGGTGGGATGTGAACCCGGGCCGCCCCGCTTGAGACGACAGCCTCCATACACATGGGGCGCGCGCACTAACCACTGGGCCCCAGGGCCAGTCTTTTCTTGGTACCGAAATTCTGTACTACTTAACATGAGTGTTAAATCTGTGTACTTGCAGTTTACATCCCGTACCAGTTTATTGGAAAGTTTTCTCATTTTAAGAAGCCCTCTCCATCAGATAGGAACAAGGTGTGTGTGTGTGTGTGTTCTTCAGGACAGGTTGCATCGTGTGTTCTCCTCCTTCGGTCCTCTGTACCTGTTGAAGGTGTGTCCTAATGCTCCTCTTAGCCCTCCTGGGTTCTACGCCCTCATCAAGTTCTACTCTGCTGCTCAGGCTTCAAAGGCACAACGGCGGACTGATGGACGCTTGTTGTTCCAGGACTCTCCCCTCAAGGTCATTACCTCAGACGCTTTCAGCACATGGTCTTCTTCTGTAGTCTAAAACTGTGGTGTTATTGCTCTTCTTTGAAAACCCACTATTGTTTTCTTGTATTTTTATTCTGTATTAGTAAATTGTTCTGCTTCTATTTTTGCTCTTGCCTCTTGGCCTTCTTCTTCTTTTACTTCTAATTGCTTCTAATTGACCCATACAGTAGTGTTTTATTAACGAAGTATCTGAAAATGTAGACCTAAAGGGGGGAAATTATTTGTATTCATCCAGATGTTTGCTGCAGTGTGTGTGCTTACAGAGATGAGTGTAGTTTGTGTTGTTGAGCAGAAGGGGGCAGTGTTGTGTCAACAAGAGTTGAGTGCAAGGATCTAAAAAAAAAAAAAAACCTCACAGGAATATTGCTTTCTTTTATTGGGCTCACTGACATTAAAATTGATGTAATTTAACCAGATAGCCTTGAATAATGAATAATATGCTTTATTTTTATTCTATTTTCTTTCACATTGTATGTTTGGTGTCCTAAAATTCCTAACGTGACACAGAAACACTCTTTATTTAAATGTATGTTATGGTGCGCTGAGGTTACAGATATATATTAACCTAGATTATATATGGAGAAATAGATTATGGTGTTTCATGTGTGCAAACATATTTTGACCTTTGCCCCTGCAGGTTGTCGTAAGAAATTTTCCTTACTGTTTGAAGAAAGAGACACTAAATTGATATTAGGACATGCCGTTGCTATGGTAACCAGCTGATCACCTGTTTGTGTGTGTTCAGGTGAGGCTGAGCTCCAAACAGATGCCTCAGTTTCTGTCTAACGGCAGCAGACCTCTGAGCCACGCCCGCTGCGTGGATCTGGCCAATCACTGCCTAGGATTCAACGGGTGGACCTCTGACATCATCACAGTGAGAAACGCACACACAACACACACTTTATCCACGTACACCTTTCTACACAGGTGAGTTAGCATCTTCGTTTGACTCCTCAGTTGAAGGAGCTTACCAACGAAGAAGAAGGTGAGGTGAAGGAGGAGGAGGAGGAGGAGGGTGGAGGCACAGAGAGGAAGCTCAGGTTTGGCTGTTTGCTGCAGCTGTCCTTCCCTCATCACGGACAGACGACCAGAGCATCAGCTGTGGTGGAGGAACGCTTCACCTGCACAGGTGAGTAAAGCTTCACCTTCACATACAAATGATTCCATGATATTAAGTGTTTTATATCTACATGTAAAATATCAGGTTTCACATGCACATAGTACCTTCTTCTTTCTGGCAGCTTTTTAAAAATGTTGCACTGTTTGGAGGTTTTAGTTTTTGAAATTACTCGAGGAGACGAAAGCTGCAATATAGTTGTGACTGTTCTCAATGTGGGTGGGATGGCAAGGTAACTCATGGTATGATACAATACACAATATATAGCCCACGATAACGATTATATCACAACACAGCGATTCTGTGATAAATGATAATCGTAAATTGATGCATCACTGAATCTGATTAACTAGAGAATATAACTCTAATATAATATGGCCCTAGAGAAAGGGAAAGTGCAGGATGAATGTATTTATTCTCTGTAATTTGATGTCAGTGTCACCTCTTATCACGCTCCATCATTTCACAGGCTTTTTTTGTTTTGTTTGTGTGTTTTCAGGTCCAGAAGTTTTCCTTCAGAGACGTTGTAAACTACACCGGCTCGTCAGAGAGAGAGCTTTGGTCCAGGCCTTCTCTGCAGTATTACTCATACTGCTAGGTAGTACTGCTTCAAATACTCCGACTAAGACTGCTACTCAAACTGCTATTACTACTCCTGCTGCTGCATGCAGCTGTGCAGACGGAGGCGTTGAGTGATCATATGTTTTGTGTGTCTTTGCAGGTGATGGTAAAGTGATGGTGGAGGTGAAGCGGACCTCAGATCAGCTGTTACCTGAGGACACCGAGGGAGTCCTGCAGGTAAGCTGTTCACCAGTCACACCAACACACTGCGGTAATAGTCTCTGTCAGTAACTGGTGTCGCTCTCAGGTGAACGAGTTTACTCCTGGTGAAGAGGAGGAGGATGATGAAGAAGAGTGGGACCTGACCGTATCATAAACACCCAGAACAGTGCATTGTGGGAAACGCTGTGAGAGATTCATATTAAAGCTTAATTTATTTAATAAATCTGTTTAATTACTGTGGAGGATTTTTAGTTTTCTATACTTTCACTTAATGAGTAAAGCTGCGTTCTGATTGGTTGTTTCTTAGACAGCTGTGGATAGATTCCACACAGAGGATAAAAACGTGAGACGCTTTGATGCTGAAACAGTTTTTTTTGCAGAGAAAGCATCAAGTAGGGTCGCAAGAGTGGGAAATCATTTTATTTAAAATATAATTCTATTTGTTTTATCTCATTGAAATACAAAAATCTCCTTTACAGTATAAAACGATGCAAAACAAAGAACAAACAGCAATCCAATATCAATAATTACATCTCATGTTTGTTCAGGCTGAATAAAAGCGTCAGTACAAAAGGATGATGATAATAATCTCAACCAGACTTCATACACGCTTCAGCACTTTTCCAAGTCTCTCGTGTACCTTCCCCACCAGCTTCTCCACCAGCTTCTCCATTATGGCGTCAGCAACTTCCAGGCTCACCCTGACCCTTATGGAGCCCTGCACACAACCAACGACAAAAAACCAGCTGTGATAACAAGGCAGTAAACAAAGAGTGAACACATAATAATAAAATAATAATAAACTGTATAAGATACACAATTATTATAGACTCATATATTAGTTATAAAATAACAATGTACTGCACGATAGATATCAACTAATGTAATAACTATTACATGTACAGTATAACAATGGTAGACTACTTAATATACGTTAAATAATGATCATATATTATGTAAAAGATAAATAACCACTGCATACTATGTACAATAAACACACTGTTTATAAGATTTAGAAACAGAATAGACAGTACAAGATATATATATATATATATATATATATATATATTGTTTTTAAATAGAGCAGGCAAAAGATGGAGAGGATGGACATTTCTCATCATTGGGCGAGTTGTAGACAGACTAGGGACACATAGTGGTGTTATAAAAACATGGGAAGTAGAATTTTTTTCAGCTCAAAATCAATTGGATGACTGCTCCTCTCTGGAAAATTACCAAAGTGCATCAGACTCACCTTACAGAAGTCGATCTCTCCAGGAGTGAATGCCACTTCTTTGGACATTTCTTTAGCAAAGCAGCCAACACACACAAAACACACACACACACATATACACATTAGTTATAATGAGCACTTAACATGATCAACACCTCTGTCACAGACCCATCCTCTATTCAACACCTTAAAAGTCAACTTTTTCAGATAAGTCAGTCCTGTTCTGTTACCAATAAATCATGTATTCCTGGTCCCTTATTCACTATCATGTACACTAAAATACGTGTTAGCATCTTACTCCCTAAAGATGTCTCCTTTGAAAGTTGGACATTAAGCTTGGTCTTGTTTTGCTGTTTTTAATAATAGTATTCACACAAACAAGCACAAACTTATAGACTGGCGTTCTCACCACTAGAGCTCGACTGATTCATCGGCCGATAATATCAGCCGATATTGGCTCATTCAGTGAATATCGGTATCGGCTATTTTAACGCAGATTTCTTTCTCCCCAATATCGGTACCGGCCCTAAAAATGTCAAATCGTTCGGGCCCTACTCACCAGCTGGAGGGGATGCACACTAAATTACAGACAAAGTATATGAAGAGAAATAAACTGAAATGTGGCTCCTCGATTATGATTGAGTCACTTATTATTCAGACCCTTAGACCTTACCAGGGTATGAAGTTACAACTTGTTAAAAATATGTATATTTAGTTTGAAAAAAATGTATAAAAACACAAGGGGCACGGCATGGTTTAAGCGCTACAAATGAATTTCATGAATAACAATAAGGCAAAGTGTTGAGTGTCCATCAGTTGTTAGAATGTGTTTCAGAAGTCCTATGTGACACTGTGGGTGTGCAGTTGATGTACTTACCAGAAATTGTTTTCTCAATCTTGCTCTTCAGAAAACCATTTAAAACGCTCAGCTGTATAGAAAGAACACATCATCACGGCTGTCATTACAGACAGACAGATACACTGAAAGACAGGCTCTTACCAATGCATCTATGAAGGCAGTTTTGGTGACGAAGGTAAAGCTGAAAAGATAAAAAAAATAAAATAAGCAGTGAATGAAAACTGATGGGATTGTGTATGCACTCTGGGTGTTTACAGTGTGTGTTTGAGTGTGTGCGCTTACAGGACTTCATTTGAATGAAAAGTCAGACTCTGCCCTCTTATAGCATGCTTAAATATCTGGTGGAGAAAAAACAAGACAAAAGAAGAAGGCAGCGGGTTTTCAGACTATGAGGAGGCTTAGACAGTTGTGGATAGATTCTACACAGGATAAAAACGTGAGACGCTTTGATGCTGAAACAGTTCTTTAGCAGAGAAAGCATCAAGTAGGGCCACAAGAGTGGGAAATAATTTTATTTAAAATATAATTCTATTCGTTTTACCTTTGTTTTATCTCATTGAGAGACAAAAATCTCCTTTACAGTATAAAATGATGCAAAACAAAGAACAAACAGCAATCCAATATCAATTAAAACCGCAAGCGGTGATGAAGGGCCCTCGCACCCCTGTGCATGTCGGGGTGTGTTGCGACCGCGGGAGTGCAGCAGCAGCGGAACGTGGCTAAGCAGCAGGCCGTGCAGTCCGATTTGAGTAAAAGTCGTACTATGGTATGCTGAAATAGGCAGCGTAATGAAGATCACAGAATATTTTGACGTAGAGCAGTTCAGGCTGGCACTGTCATGACAGCTATGAAATATGGAGCAAATTGAGGATTGTGTAGTACTTATTCCTTGCAGTAGGAGGCGCTATGGTTAAAGTTGACTATCGTTATGTCTATGTGTTCAGAGGCCAACCCTGATCATACATGTGTAATTTGAAGTAGATCAGACAAAGTATGAGAGTTACAACCACTTCCTGTTTGACGGCGAATGATGGATCCGTATAGCGAGAGCGTTGGACGTAGGTGTTTGAGCTTGAAAGTGTTGTATGGCCAAGGTGTTTGAATGGTCCACACCAATTTTGAGCGGGAAATGAGCTACCCTGTAGCAATGGGTAATGCTAACTGAGAAGCAGTAACTTCCTGTTGTCGACAGGTGGCGCTGTGACTAAGAAAAAAAAATTTAATCATGGATGCGTTCAGAGCGGGCCCCGTATCATGTATGACAAATTTTAATATGATTGAACCCTGCATGGCAGAGATATAACCATTTACTTTTTTGGTAAGTTGCCAAAATGCACATCAAACTTTGAACACACGCCATAGCCACGCCCTTTGACGAAATAACGTGCAGAGCACAACGGAATGTGTTGAACATGTTTTGAACACACTTGACACTGAGTTTGCGTCGAACGAATGAACGCTTTTGGACTAGCTTTATTTTTCGCTTCTGCCAGTCTTTAATTTTATACATATGTTTATGTATTTCAGTTTTACTTAAACTGTATTTCTGTTTTCTTTTCTTTCTTCAAAAACAGCATTTTATCCATATTTCAACACAATATGCACAGAAAAATACATAAACTTATACTTGTCTTATATTACATGCAAAAGTTCTCAACGCTACAAAATAAACGTTTCAGTGTGTTATTATTCTTTTCACAAATATAATATAAAAATAAATTTGGTTCTGCTACTTAAGACCTTCTATCAATGCAATACAGTTACAAACAGGTTTCCAGTTTATCCTCGCTTAGAATTATGCTAACAAATAACATGTGAAATCCCATAGAGAAACGGCGAAGCTAGCGGAGTTAGCGCTACACTTTATACATGAATGTAAGTACAAAATATGAAAACGAACAGTCTTCATGGACCCACGGGTACTTTAAGAGATATACAGGAGCTTTACAAAACTAGCAAAAGAGCATGTGAGCTAGGGACAAGCCATGACAGACATATATGAGCGTGTTGATGAGCGTGTTGATGAGCGTGGCGATGAGCGTGGCGATGAGCTAAGCTAGCGCTCATGAGCATCATAGCTTAAGTACCTTAATACCTTCAAAACAAATTTAAAACACATCCTGACACACACTTAAGGATGGCGTTACCTTCCACATGCTGTAGAAGAATACATAGACGACATGTATGTGATTTGTGACATTTACTCACCTGTAAATAGGCCTAACAGGGAAATAATAGCAACAGGTGTGTTTCCTTTCCTGCTTCTGCTACCAAGCACACTAAGCTGTCTCACTTTGAGGTTTCACCTCCTTGTGGAACGAATTGGAACCACACTCTAAATTAAAATATTTCAATCATGGATAGTCACCACAAGATGGCAGCATTGCCTTAATTTTAGACGGGCTCTGTATCATGCATGAGAAATTTTAAACTACCTTGACTTGAGAGCGTTATTAACCCCTCTTCCCGATATGATAGTATGTCATGTTTGGTACCAATGGATGCAGTATTTCGTATATATAATAAATGAATATCCCCTCTAGTTTTTAAATTGAGCCCGCGACGCCGTCCAGAAAATAGTAACATTTATGTCGGCTGATGGCACACTAACATTTGACAACAAGTTAAACGTTAACGATAGCTAGCTAACGAAAGCTAGCTAACGAAATGACTGCTAGCTAACTGGTAAACCGTTAGCTCGAGCTATTCTGTGAAATTGCTTGGTTGACTAATGTAACATAATGGTTTTCTAAGTTTAGCCAGTTAGCCGTTAGCTAGCGAGAGTTACAGCCACTTCCTGTTTATGGCGATGTGATTTGTGGACTTTCTGTTGGATATTGAGCATGGGTGCAAGAGGATTTATTGTAGGTGTTGTCAAGATGGATAAGCATAGCAAAATTCAGCACCGTATGTTCAATGTGCTGCGGGGGCTGAATGTTTGAAATATTGTAGGGGGCGCCACTGAGCCAATAAGCCACACCCACTCACTTAAACGGTATAAAATGTTTGACTTTACCACCAGGATCATATGTATTAAGTTTCGGGACTGAACGACTATGTTAAGCCCATGAAAAAAGTACTTCCTGTTTTATGGCGACAGCGCGTCCGTATGGTGACAGCGTTAGACGTAGGCATTTGATTTTGAAAGGGTTGTATGGCCAAGGTTTTAGCATGGTCCACACCAATTTTTAGGGGGAAATGAGCTACTGTGTAGCAATGGCTAGTTCTAATTGAGAAGCAGTAACTTCCTGTTGTCAACAGGTGGCACTGAAATCGGGCTGAAGGCTGAAATCGGTTCATTATTGTGAAATTCAACTTAAATTTGTGGACTTCCTGTTGGGTTTTTTGAAATGCTGAAAGAGGATTTTATGTCCGTCCTGACAAGCTTAATACGCGTAGCAATGTTCATGAATGTGCGTCAAAAAACCTTCTATGGGGAGGCCATTTTGAAAATTTGAAGGGGCCATTAAACGATGACTTAAACGATTTAAGTTTAACTTTAGGACCAGGATTATATGTATGAAGTTTCGGGTCTGTACGACTATGTTAAGCCCGTGAAAAAACTACTTCCTGTTTGATGGTGAACGATGCATCCGTACGGCAAGAGCGTTGGACGTAGGCGTTTGAGCTTCAAAGTGTTGTATGGCCAAGGTGTTAGCATGGTCCACACTAATTTTGAGGGGGAAATGAGCTACCGTGTAGCAATGGGTAATGCTAACTGAGAAGCAGTAACTTCCTGTTGTCAACAGGTGGCGCTGTGACTAATCAAAAAATGTCAATCATGGATGTGTTCAGGGCGTGTCCCGTATCATGAGAAATTGTAATATGATTGAACACTGCATAGCTGAGATATAAGCATTTACTTTTTTTTTTTTTTTTTTACACACAAAAAAGTTCAAACGCACACCATGGCCACGCCCTTTGACGAAATAACGTGAGCACAACGAGATATGCTGAGCCTGTGTAGAACACACTGACACTGAGTTTGCGCCGATTGGATGAGCACCCTCGGGCAAGATCCTTCAAATTGGACGGCTGAAATCGGTGATTTTGAGCGATTTTGGGCCTAATATGCGTACCAATTTTCGTGAGTGTACGTGAAAAATCCCTCTATGGGGAGGCCATTTTGAAAATTTCAAGGGGGCGCCACTGAGCCGTTTTGCGAAATTTGTTTACGAAACCACCAAAATATCAAACCTGATGACCATGGAAAGTTTGCTGAGTTTTCGGGCACGTTCAGGCCCTCAAAAGTGGCCACAAAGTGGCGGAATAAAGATAAAAATAATAATCATTTGCATTTGCATTCCAAGAGGGTCCTACGCACTTCGGGCCCTAATAATTACATTTCATGTTTGTTCAGGCTGAATAAAAGCATCAGTACAAAGGGATGATGATAATAATCTCAACCAGACTTCATACACGCTTCAGCACTTTTCCAAGTCTCTCGTGTACCTTCCCCACCAGCTTCTCCATTATGGCGTCAGCAACTTCCAGGCTCACCCTGACCGTCATGAAGCCCTGCACACATCCAACAACAAAAAACCAGCTGTGATAACAAGGCAGTAAACAAAGAGTGAACACATAATAATAAAATAATAATAATAAACTGTGTATAAGATACACAATTATTATAGACTCATATATTAGTTATAAAATAACAATGTACTGCACGATAGATATCAACTAATGTAATAACTATTACATGTACAGTATAACAATGGTAGACTACTTAATATACGTTAAATAATGATCATATATTATGTAAAAGATAAATAACCACTGCATACTATGTACAATAAACACACTGTTTATATGATTTAGAAACAGAATAGACAGTACAAGATATATATATATATATATATATATATATATATATTCTTTTTAAGTCTCACATCAAAGAAGTCGATCTCTCCAGGAGTGAATGCCACTTCTTTGGACAAAGGAATCTGCATTTCTTCACACACAAAACACACACACACACATATACACATTAGTTATAATGAACACTTAACATGATCAACACCTCTGTCACAGACCCATCCTCTATTCAACACCTTAAAAGTCAACTTTTTCAGATAAGTCAGTCCTGTTCCGTTACCAATAAATCATGTATTCCTGGTCCCTTATTCACTATCATGTACACTAAAATACGTGTTAGCATCTTACTCCCTAAAGATGTCTCCTTTGAAAGTTGGACATTAAGCTTGGTCTTGTTTTGCTGTTTTTAATAATAGTATTCACACAAACAAGCACAAACTTATAGACTGGCGTTCTCACCACTAGAGCTCGACTGATTCATCGGCCGATAATATCAGCCGATATTGGCTCATTCAGTAAATATCGGTATCGGCCATTTTAACGCAGATTTCTTTCTCCCCAATATCGGTACCGGCCCTAAAAATGTCAAATCGGTCGGGCCCTACTCACCAGCTGGAGGGGATGCACACTAAATTACAGACAAAGTATATGAAGAGAAATAAACTGAAATGTGGCTCCTCGATTATGATTGAGTCACTTATTATTCAGACCCTTAGACCTTACCAGGGTATGGAGTTACAACTTGTTAAAAATATGTATATTTAGTTTGAAAAAATGTATAAAAACACAAGGGGCACGGCATGGTTTAAGCGCCACAAATGAATTTCATAGATAACAATAAGGCAAAGTGTTGAGTGTCCATCAGTTGTTAGAATGTGTTTCAGAAGTCCTATGTGACACTGTGGGTGTGCAGTTCAGTGTGTTGATGTACTTACCAGAAATTGTTTTCTCAATCTTGCTCTTCAGAAAACCATTTAAAACGCTCAGCTGTATAGAAAGAACACATCATCACGGCTGTCATTACAGACAGACAGATACACTGAAAGACAGGCTCTTACCAATGCATCTCTGAAGGCAGTTTTGGTGAGGATGGTACAGCTGAAAAGGTAAAAAAAAAAAAAAAAAGCAGTGAATGAAAACTGATGGGATTGTGTATGCACTCTGGGTGTTTGCAGTGTGTGTTTGAGTGTGTGCGCTTACAGGACTTCATTTGAATGAAAAGTCAGACTCTGTCCTGTTATAGCAACCTCCATAGCAACCTTAAATGTCTGGTGGAGAAAAAACAAATTAATTATTTTTAATAAAGGCAAAAGAAGAAGGCAACGGGTTTTCAGACTGTGAAGAGGCGAAACCAATGACCCAGTGGGGGCGCTGATGCATTGTTCCAGCCGCCGATAAAGGTGCACAATTTCTCACAGATGGGATGTATATCTGTCTGTTAGCTTGTTGCTAACACATACAGGAAAATGGCTTTAACAGGCTAACAGAATTTGCATCTCAATAATTTTAACATATAAATATCTTAACTCTTATATGTAACATACTCAACAAACAACACCTTATGCACCATGTGTTTCCTAAACCATGTGGAGACCAGACAAACTGCAGAGTCATGATAGCCTGGTCTGCTGCTCTGATCCACCTCCATAAACAGTCAATGCTCTAATCCAGTGAAACTGCATGACTCGCTCTTTATGTCTCAGTTCATGGGACGTGTCCTTACTAACTATTGGGTGGTGGTGTGTAATGAGCGCATTTCTCCTGCGCCCATCGAAACTCTTTTTGCAGCATCCTGAAAGCTGTGTGTGTTTACCGCTGACACAGAGAGGAGATTGCTCTGTTTCTTGACGGCCCTGATCTTGTTTTTGGCCTTCATTGTGAACACTCGCACTCTGGCTCTGGCGTTGACAGTGATTCCATCACTCTGCCTGATGCTGAAGCTGGGCGCTTCAGTGACTTTCACCTCGATGAAAAGAGTTTTCATCAGCCCGAGTGGTTGCTATAAAAACACAGCATTAATTAAAACTGTAGAAAGAGAAAACTAAAACAGTACCAGTAAAACCAAGCATCCCATCTTGTAGAAATGATGTCTATATATGACTAATTTGTTTTACCAGTTCTGTTTTGTTAGTACTGTACAGACCTGCTCTTTTTTATTTGATTATGGGCTATTATAATTCACTGATTAGCTGATTGACTGCAGCCGACCCTGTTGCTGCTTATTTAGTTCTTCTGGAGAATCAGTGTTTTATCACCCACCTTAAAGCCACCACGAGGAGTTTTTAGCTGGTTATGAAACAGGCCAAAAGTGAAAGTGATCTCTTAGTATAGATAGATAAATACTTTATTGATCTCGAGGGAAATTCAAAGAACATATAAGCTTTATATAAGCAACAAAAGCAAACAAGAACATCAGTGACAAAGTTGATCATTTATTTAGTTATTTTCATTGCCTTTAACTTGTGCTGCAGGGTAGGTGCCATACACAACCATTTACAGCAACAAAAAAACTATTTTTACATTTTTCTCAGCAACATGAAGTGATTTTCAGTAACATAAAATCCTTCAAACTCACAAAACATTTTATAACATTTTAAACTCTGGTGTTTGTGCTTACCCTGAAAAACTGCAAAGTTTTGAAAATAGACATTGCAGGTACACTGGTCACCTTTTGAGGAGGAAAGAAGAGGTTTATACATTTTAATTCAACTTTAACACTGTTGAGCTGAAATGTATACAGTAATTACACACTTCTGGTGGTAAATATTATAATTAAAGCCTGCAGTAATTACAGTGAAAGTTGTACACTGATGTTGGCTGTGGCTGCTGATTAAACGGTTGTGTTCGTTGTTGTTTCTTACCATCTTTGTCTGACTGAAGGCTCCTTTATTGTACAGAGACGAAGCTAGTCTGTTGAAGAGGCTCTCATAAATAGTGAAATCCATTTCTCTGAAAACAGAACCGTTCCCATTTAAACCCGTCAGAACAGACTCACCCTGAAGCTCTGAAACAGGATAGAGGATGCAGGATACATTCAATGGGTCCAGGGTTCAACTTTTTTCTGTTATATAACAATGATAACCTGGTAGTATAAAACACACACATGCATATTGTACTCTGGTTTCCCTGAGATTCCATGGCTATTTAAACTTCTTTAGACAGAGAATTTGGCATTTGATATCTAAGCAGCTGCACCTAGGGGCCATGTCCACTATATTCTGGTCCAACACAGTAGTACTCCAGTGTATTTTGGCATTTCTATTATATTATATGTATAATTCTCATTATTTCAACTAAAGAGGTTGATCATCTGCACCATTTACCAAATATTTGATTTAACAAAGAATGTCATTTTTGTGCTCAAAGGGAGGAAACGTAAGCTGTTTGTTTCTAAAGCTGTAGGTTATACTTCACTAGTCGAGTTTTCACAGTTGTACTTTGAATAAGCTGAGTCATTATATGGTGAAGCTAAAAGGTAATTAAATAAAATGGCATTTGGGCCACAACAGATTAAAACTATGTGGTAAACCTGGTTCTATTTCATCAATAAGATCTTTTCTGGTTTTCCAGTTTGATGTCCTCTGGCTGATCTGACTGAACTCTTGATGTGATATCGGTATCGTCCCCAAAAATCTAATATCGGTCGGGACATACTATGATCCCTTTGAAGTCACTTATTATACCTACGATATAAAAAATATGAAAATGATGAATCCAGCAGCAACATGTACACCTCTTATTTCCAACATAACAGTTACTTAACTGGAAATTAGATGTGGTGACAGATTGCAACAGACGAATCAGACTGTCCCTGAAAGCATCACGACAAGAACTGGCCATTTATCTATCAAAAAATACTTTAATGTCATCAACAAACAGGAAACATACGGACAACAGTTCACCACAGTGATGACACACCACATAATATTACACACAAACATGTGCCGCTTTCAAGGACTGAATTATTACAATTATATAAAACATCTAAAAAAAGGACACAAAAACAATCATTTACAAGCCGGCTGTTAGATTTCTATTTGCTAAAGCTGTTTTGTTGGATCCTACAGCACTGGAGTTCAACACCACACAAATTCCTGACAGCATTTTTTTTTTAAACCATTTAATACAGGAACTACTTAGTTTTTGGCATCTTCAGTACTTTATATCCGACCTACCTCAGAGGCAGCAAGGATGCTGGGAAATACTTTTCACAGATACACATAAAAACACGTTCAGAACTGTCATTTGAAAACCTTGTATCTTTGTGTTTAAATACAGAACGTATCTGTAAACAGTTTGAAAGGTTTTCGTAGGGCAGTAGACACGCATACACACAAGAAGGCAGGTATTAAAATGGCAGTGTTGGGTTCAGTTTGGCCTGGTTTGGTTGAGAATTTCTCGATGTACTTCAGGCAGTTTTAGGCGAGTTAGTTTGGTTGGTTTGGTTATGGATTTGTTTGTCTGATTATGGAAGAGACTGTTTGGTCTAGCTCAGGATGTGTTGGTCTGATTTGGTCTGGTTTAGGATGTGTTGGTCCTTTGTAGGATTTGTTTATCTCACTTGGTCTGATTCAGGATTTGTTCATCTGGTTTGGATGTGTTGGTCCAGTTTCAGATTTTTTTGGCTTAGTTAAGGATTAGTTCTGATTTGGTCGGGTCAAGGCTAAACTGTTCTGTTCTTTTTTTCTGTATGAGTTGGTCTGGTTTGGTCCTATTCAGAAGGCCCCTTTCTGGTTTGGTTTGGTCCAGGAGAGATTGGTGTGGTTCAGTATGTGATGATCTTGTGGTTTGATCTGGTCAAGGATGGAATGGTCTGAATTGACCTGGTCATCAAAGTATTTTCTGGTTTGTTCCAGTACATAATGAGATGCTCTGGCTTGGTGCAGTTCAGAATGTGTTGATTGGGCCCAGTGTGGTTTAGGGTGTGTTGGGCTAGTTTGGTCCGTTACAGGATGTATTTGTCTTTGTTTTTTCGGGTTTATGATGGGTTAGTCTGGCTCAGTCTGGTTTAGCATAAGTTGTTCCATTTCAGTCTGGTTCAGGATGACTTGGTAGGGTTCTGGATGTGCTGATCTGGTTTGGTGTAGTTCATGATTTGTTAGTCTGGCTCGATCATGGTCAGGATGTGTTGGTTCCATTCAGGATGTTTTGGTATGGTTCGGCCCAGTTCTGTGTGGAACTGGTTTAGTCTGGTTCACAATACATTGGTCCAGTTCAGAATCTAATGCCATGGATATCTCTGGTCTCTGAGGCTGCGTTCACACTGCAAGCCATAATTCTCAATTCAGTTTTTTTTGCTCAGATCTGATTGTTTTGTTTGGCTGTTTACATCACTTTTTAAATATGGTCAGATTCAGATCACCATTGGCTGCAGTGTGAACGCAGCCTTAGTTTGCCTCAGTCCAGGAGGTGACCCAGTGTTTCGGGGACTTCCTGCCTCTGGATGACGATGCTTGGTCTTGGATCAGGAAACCATCAGCGTCAGTATACTGCTGCTGCTGCTGGTCTTTGTCCAGAATCCTCCCCTGATGGAGCACTGTAGTCCGCCACGTACTCCGGCGCTCAAAGAAACCACACTGCAGACAACACAGAGAACAGGGTTGAAGTAAACAGGAAGTGGATGCATTAACAGGGCGAAATAAATAAGAAGTGGACAGAGGGATAGGTTGAAGGTAAATTTATCTCTCTTTATAAATGTTAATTTATTTTAGGTATATTAGTTTATATGACGTATTGTTTTGCATCCATTTCTTTTATTTTCTTTTATTTGGACCTTTGTCAATAAAAGTCATGGAATTTAAAAACAATTATCATCATCATCAAGGCTGAAATGGAAGTATGGAACAGAAGCTACTATCATGTTGAAGGTGAGAGACCTGTTTTCATTAAAGTCAGAAACCACAGAAGAAGAAATCATTGGACATCTACATATTCAGGTAAATACTGATTAAATAAATACAATTAGTCACTGAATTAAAAATGATTAATAAAAAAAACAGTCAGGTAAAAGCAGAGGAAATTTGACAAACAGGAATAACAAAGATCAGCAGAGTTCTTGGTCAATCAAAGGAAGCAAGAGTCATAGGAGCTGGAAAGAAGGAAGGAAGTGAAAAGCTTTATCCAGAGAGCCTCCAGTAGAAAGCAGAGGAAAACATCAGCCAGTACTGGCAAGTTAAGACCAGTCATCACAAGTCAGACTCAAGTCTGTAACATGTCAGAAACAGTTAACTAAAGCCAGTCAGTAAATAGTCAGTAGTATTCCAGAAACAGTCAGTTAACAACACAGTATGTAACAGTCAGATAGTAAACTGGTAAGAAACAGCTCCAGGGAGGAATCATCAAAAACGCTTAGTATCTGTCAAAAAAAAAAACTGAAATTAAAGTCACTATCAATAACAGTCTGTCATAGTCCGAATGAGTCAGTAACTGAGAAGAAAGAGTTACATTCAGTTAGTAAACAGTCAGTAGTGGTCGGTAGGAGTCAGCCGGTCCTTACAGCAGGGCTCTCTGGCAGCAGTGAACCCAGCCTCAGAGCTCCTGGTCCAGCCTCTCATGCTCAGACGGCTGGCTCTTCATGTGGGCTTTCTGGGTCTTTGGCTGGTACAGCTCTCTGGTGCTGGCTCTCTTGAAGAAACCACACTGAACAGCAGGGGGCGACACAATGGAACTTTACCAACCAGGAGTGGGTGATAACATTACAAATAGTATCGGCGATTACACAGAAAAAACATGATAATTATTAGACTTCAGTAGTCCCTAGTAGACCTGGAAACTACATCCTAGGATAAGAGAGAGGTATTGTGTACAGATGGTTAAGATTTCTGCTGATGTCTGGTGGACTCCATCTTAATGATACAACCAAGCTTGGTTACCTTCCAAAGCAGCAGGCAGATCAGAGCCAGTAGTAAGACTCCTGATAGGACAGACACCACCATTATCCACAGTGGGGCACCGGAGTCCACCTGCTGCCCCTGGTCTGGATAAATGGTGATCTCAATCTGCAGAGGAAGAGCGCACTTGAATAAGGAGGAGAAAATAGGAACTACAAAACATTGTAATGGTGTGGATCGCAACAGATGCATCATTAGGGTGTTTGATCAGACTGTCAGAACATTACAGCCTCTAAGGGGGCGCTAGCAGTATTTTAGCAGCTTAAAACCTCTGTGATTTGAGACTCCATGCTGATGGTGGGTTTGCTAGTCTGCAGTTTCAAAGTTGCCTGGCTTCGGACCAACACAGTCCTAGCGTCACTGTAGTCCTGAAACACACAGAAGAAGTGATAATAAAACACCAATAACAAGCAGACAAACAGACACGAATATAGTCCATAGTCCATTTTTTAAATTTAACCCACAGTGGGTTTCTTCCTCAAATGCACATGCTTATTTATTTGTATTTACTTGTTTCTCTGCCTCACTTCTCTTTCAACAATGTGCAAATAAACAGAAACTAGACTAAACTAAACATATCAGCATACAAAGTAATCATAGCTAACATGATAGCATACAGCTACCTACTTCCATATCCAGCAGTTACAACACAACATGATAATTAACAGGGGTTTGCCGTTTATGTCTAGCCTTGTTAAGTGGCTTACATCCCCACTATAGATAGTGTACAGTGGTTGTAATAGCAAATGGCAGCAGACAACTCTGTGACTGAACCAGGTAGGAAATGTGCAACAAAACCAAGACTACAAGCTAAAAGAGGCTACAGAATTGTTTCTACCTCTATCATGGTGGAGTTCCACAGCCGTGCTCTGACAGTCAGGGTCGCTGAGTTGTCCATGTTGCCCAACGGACAGGTAAACTTCACACATTTAGCCCCATGGACACAGTCCTGCACAGACAAAATACCCACATGCATGTAAGGACTACAATTTTCAAAATGTATTTTCCCAACCAAAAACTAAATCCATCATAAACTCTTAACAAGAATTCAAGTTATCATCCTCAGACACAACTACAAAGTTGTAACGTTTGAATGAGTCGTCACAAATCAATGCCTATCCTAACTTTGTAAAAGTCTTCAAATAGACAGATGTAAAATAACTTACAATTTCTGCCTCTAGTACAAAGGTTATAATTTACCCAAGAGGTGTGACCAAAGCTTAGGTAACTTATGAATAGCAGTAATACAAAAAAAAACTGAAGCAACGCTACAGAAAGAGTGTGCTTGTACCAGAG